CCTTATCACAGATGTATCATAAGTCAATACGGTGGAGTAGTGTACACCGCAGTCGGTCTCAGATTCCCACGGCGATGGTTATGATCATCACTGCCGAGGCCGAAATGTGGCTACGATAGGAGTTACGACGTGACTGTGAAAGGTCCGAGTGTAATAGTGATTTTGTGCCAGCCTTTCCACCTGCTCATGATGATCCTAAGGATCGGGATCGGGATGGGACAGAGAAAGACAGGGATATGGGAGGACATGATACAGAACCAGCCACTAAGAAGCAGAAGAACTCTGAGGTTCCAAATCCATCGACATCTAGACAGGAGGATGAACCGGTGCCAATGCAAACAACTGCAATGACGACTTCGGGAAGCAACCACCCTCCATTTTTGTCTCCTCAGGTTACCTATTCATCACCTATTCTGGTGACTCCACTATCGCCAGGGGCTGAAACTAGGCGGTTGATGATGGCGCAGCAAAAATTAGCTCAAGTTTTAACGCACTCTGGTGGTGGGGCAATGAGCTTGACGCCAAATCAACCGAAGGATAGTTTGCCTCCTAACACTTCTACCAGGAGTGTTGAACTGCAACTGCAGCCTTCACCTGATGTTGAACTGCACCAACCTGTTGTAGTTGATGAGGACCTGCAGACCAGCGAGCAGCATTTTATTGAGCCTGCTGATTCACCAAAATTGTTGCAGACTGAGAGCAGTACAAGCAGCCCACATGTGCTGCCAACAGAAATGAACAAATCTGCTCCTACTACTCCGAGTATATTATCTGGTAATGATTCTAATTTGGCAAAGGATATTTATGATAATTTAGTTTACCTTACGTTGCAGCACGTGAACTAATGTTCAGTCTGCGGATGGTATTACTGTTGCAGAAAGCGATGGCTAACCATAGGGGTATGCCACAATCGCCTTCGACTTCTCAAGTCAAACATTCTGGTATGTTAGACACAATTTCTTTTACCTCTTTTGCTACTCTAACCAATGATATTTGTGTTACAAATTTAAGTAATTTGGATTTCAATTTGGGAAACAGTAGTAGTAAAGTTAACATGTATATTAATGCTCTAAAACATATTGAGATCGATAGAACTAGTGTCACATCCAGTAAGAAAACGCAAATAGTAGGTGACTTAAAAGCCTCTTCTAGTAAACTAAATCTCTTGGATACAAGTGATGATGAGGGTGCTGAACCAGATAGTGCTCTACTCGCACACTTGGTTAGAGATGTGTCTGAAGTAAATTTTGATGATGTGGGCCTATAGACATAAGAATTTGTGATCTCATGGCAACCACAAGAAAATCAAAATCTAATTCAAGAGGATCACAAAACCCGGAAGGGTGGGAACAAAAACAAAAGAAGAGTTTCAGATCTCTTAGACTTGGCTAAATACCGATACATTTCAGAGGTAGTTAGCGATCATGAGCTTGATTTCATTTCTGTAATGGAGACTAGGAAACAAGACATGTCAAATAAGAATTTGTCACGCTTTTGTAGTGGTGCAGATTGAGTTGGTGTAGCACCTAGTTTTAAAGACAAAACTGAATGCACAGCATATGTGAGCCCATCAAATTAATGTGGAAAAAATTGAAATACACAACTTTCTATAACTAAATTTGCAAAAACTCAAATTAGTCTTGTCAAGTTTTATACAAATATTAAATCATTTGTTTTACTTAGTGTTTTATATTCACAACTCAAAATTGAAAATTTGAGGTGTTACGTGGTGGAGTTGTCCAAACAGGCCCTAAATTCCACCACACCCTGGTCTCGTATTTCTTATTTATCATGTGTTAATTCTGTTGACGTAACATCCTAGTGATGTTGTTTACCTTTTGAGTTCGCTTCAGCATTGAAAACGCTCGCTACTCTTATGGTCAAGCATACTCGATTTCCTTGGGCAGAAGAGGGGAAATTGATAGTGGCTGAAGGATCCAAACAGAAGCAGATGGAAAAATATGATGTATGTGAACAGCCCTAGTGGATGGAAGAAGTTGATGGCAGAATAGAGGGTCATACCAGGTCCGCTAGAAGCACTTGTTTCCAGTTGAATGAACCACCTTCTTTTGAAGTATTCCTGCACCCCGTTGAATTAGAACTTAGACTAACTGGATCTTATCTTAGCCTAAACATGATCACTAACTCATCTTAATACAGAAATTAATCTTAGATACTAACCAGGGTCAGCAGATGCCATCTGTGCTCGTGTACCTGACGTAGGAGTTGATGTAGATGAACTTATCTTCACCAATATGAGAACCGATGCTCTCTTTTGATGAAGAACTCGATGTAGATCCAATCTGCAACAATTGTACTTAGATGTGGGTAGACGGCCTTCCTAAACCCTCCAGCGCCTTAGTGACCAGTTATGTGATTTGTTTCACGTGGATGAAGCTGCCAAGGGCGTCTCCTCTTATTTATAGATGCGCTGTGGGCCAGGGGGCTGAACCCTAGAAGATCTAAGGGTTATTGCCGATCACGGCAAATCTTATTTAGTTGGAAATAAATGATAGGTGGATAAAAACCTTAATGCATAATTAATCTCATAATAATGCGTCGTCAGCAGCATTAATTGCCACTGGGACTCCATTACCCATAGTTCACTGCAATACCTTGTTAAAACGCTTATTACTTATTGGGAGTATATGGCCCTATTATCAGGAATCAAGTTAGAGACTCTGCACTAAAACCCAAATTGATTTACGCGCTTATCAATAGGATAAGTGTTAAGCCTCAAATAATCAAATATGCTAGTATCAGCTTAGTTCTTATTTTTCTCAAGCTTAATAATTTGATCCAAGGTTCTTTCTTTCACAACATTTAATCAATTTGCTTAGCATCATCATTTAATTTGTTGTTACTCAAAATAATACTGAACTTAACTGTAGGCCTATAGTAGTATGTCAATACTCAATTTTGGGATAATATCTCTTAAACCACATGGCCTGTTGTATTCATTCTTAAACATGTCACTAATTGAGCTCATCTTAATACTAATTATATTTGGAGCTTTCAGTGAAATTATCTTTTTCTGCAAGAAGAGTATTTATAATCTAATTGTGCACTTTCTTATACAGACTCAAGAGAATTGGCAAACGACTAATTCTTAATTTTTATAAGTGACCGAATGATTCTTTTAGTGCCTCTTCAGTAACTTAAAATTCTTAGGCACCTTCCAGTGGACCTATTCTGGATTAATAAACTAATATTTTTGTCAGGTATCCCGATGCCAAGTCTAGACTAGTATTGACTTAGCATTCTTAAAGTTAATGACAGCCGAAACATATGGAACATCTTCCTTTTCAACTGTTACTAACTTATTCTTAGAATTATTTGGGATAATTGATCTTACTATGTTGTGCAACTATGCAAATAAATAGGCATGTCATTACTTATTCAAACTCTATCACTTAAGCATTCATTTGATATCCTTTTGTGATAGTCCTAGTACTCAATTGGTCCTGTATTGGTATATTTTATTAGCCAAAAACTCAGTGGCTTCATCAAAATATATCATATTAAAAATTTAGGTAGTAGAAAACTCTTATGTGACATTTCTATTGCCACGTAAGTAAACTTCACCCATGTAGAATATTAGGACAATAAGCTTTTCCATCATTTCTTATAAACATTATTCTCCACTTAATGAAATTCTAAACCATAGTGAGGTATATTCTTAGTTTTAATCTTACAAAACTCTCTTCGAAGCCACGCATAAAATTGTAGACCCTTTATAGCATACTGTTTTGACTTCGTTAGGAAACTTATTAACACCCACACTTTATATATATATATGGACCTAAGCTCATAAATTTGCTTAGTTTAGAATAACAAAATTCCTCTTCTGATGTGACCATCTTATATATTTATCATGGATTACAAATAATTTATTAACAATAGAGGTTTACTTATGTGCCTAATTATCAACTAATGCTTGCTACATATATCTGTTGTGGCTTACTAATTGACTCTTAAAATGCCATAATAAAAATTATAGTAATTTAAATGGAGGTATACTAATAACTTATGGCACAAACTAAGATATTTATGTCTTCTTGAGTCATTGATACAGAAAACTAAACCCGTATTTCTCTAAGATTTAATCTTCCTCCTTTGTGAACTCCCACTAGCTCCCACCGATTCTTGCATTCTCTAGGGACACATTCATTACATAACTTAGCGAAATAGTTATAACAGCAGAAAACATAATCCCTTGGACTTTTGCTCCCACTGATTTCTGTGTTCTCTAGGAACATAATCAGGGTGCCATGTGGACAGCTCATTTACTTACAATCTCATTTCTTATCCTTAGCTAGACTGTACATATGTCTTGCTTAGAAGCCTAGTAAAACTTTTATGGTCAAATATTCATCGATCAACGTTGGCCAGAATGACAAACATAAGACATAAAAGTCTCAAAAACAAGCTCTATGAACTAGTCTAATCAGCGTTGGCTAGAATAAACTAGAACAAAATACTTGGTGAACATGCAAACACTAATCAGCTTTGGCCAAAAATAGTGAAAGCAAGTCATACTTCAATTAGAGACTAATGTTAGACTTAGGGACAAAAGTTAGTATGAATTATTTATTTCTCAAGTACCATGCTTTAAAATCTTATTGAATAGAGCATCTCTTTCGTGATGAGACTCCCCTTCGAAATGTGGCTTAACAGTAGTGACACAATTTTGACAAGGTCTCATCATCTTGACTAATAATTACCTTAAAGATAAAACTGACATAAAAAACTCATATTATAGAAAATAAATCTCTTTGCCAACTAATAAGAAAAATCATAATGAAATAAATTTGATGATGTGTCCATAAACTCCAAACTCAAGAACATTTGTTCAGAATACAATGGATTTATCAAAAACTAAGATAACTTATGCATCATCAAAAGCTAAACTTAAATCTGATCTAATGCGAAGCTCCAAGGCTCGACTTCATATTTATTCCATCAATGGCTCCTTAGACTTTTCTCCCCTTTCTCCCCTTTCATTTATGGTTGGCAAGACCTGAAGGAGAATTTAAGATATGCATTATTGCACCTTAGTTAATCCACCATATGTTGGGGAAATATGTTAAATAAAACTTATGAGACAACTTAAGTTACTTGTCTTTCGAAGCCATTCTTATACTTATCATCAATGGTAACTTGCAAAATTTGCAGACCATTGAAAACTTATCATTTTGAGCATGTTTGGTATGGTTTTCTGGCATAAAACTCATAAGGCAATTTGCCATAAACTCATTGGACACATCTAATCCAAGTGCCTTCAATTCATAAGCCATATCAAACAAGATTTTAACGTGGTTACCCAAACCACTTATCCCATCATATCGGGAATTAATTAATTTATCAAAAAGGAAAACCTTTCTAAAGTGTGCTTTTATGGAGTTGTGAAGCCCCTTAGCACTTAATCCCTCGGAGTTCTTTTCATTAGAAAGAAACCTCCTCATCATCTTATATAAAACTATAGTTACTTCATACCATAGTTTTTCTAAAACTATGCCATCCAAACAGGCACTATATGATGATAGCCAATAAACTTTAGCAATAACAAATTTGGCCTTTAAAACAATAATAAAGCGACAAAAAAATCATGAAGATACAAATACAAACATATTAGGAAGCCGGTGAAAATAAAAGGCATGCATTCCACCAGTGAAAAGTAAACTCTCTTAATGTGGAAAACTTAACTATGCCCTGAATATCTTACCTGCATTCTTTCTTTCTTTTTTGAGAAGTAAATACATTGATAGCACAAAAAAAGTGTGATGTTGCATTTGCTGTGTATGGTACCTGGACCAAGAGGGTTTTGATTTGGAATCACTTGAGCATTTCCAGCGTTCTGTTGGGTCTTTGTCGGAATTTCCATGGACAGCATTTTCAGAGAAATCTTCCGCAAATAATCAGACTGAGTCATACAAAATAGAAGATTTAAGTTGTGGTTTTGCATCAATACAATTTACATGAGCAAGATGCATGGGCCCATGATATTTTGGTACCACACCTCCTAAGTATGACTAGCACAGTATCCATGCATTGCCCCATCATGTGTGTTAGCATGATAAAAAGATGCTAAAAGCATCTAAAGTTGACCTAAAAGCCTTTCAGATTATTCATAGATCAAACTTTTATATCATTGACCTACCCCATGACTAAACATTCTGACTCTGTACAGGAGCATACTAGAGTTAGGTTAAATGTACCTGGTTGATGGCTGCAGTATAGATTTTCTCTTCAAATTGCACGGCAATTTTGTGAAGCTCACCCAGCAGCCCCTCTGGCACTGATACTGGCAGATGCTGCTTCAGAGTCTCCATTCTACATATACAATGCAAGATGTTATATATTGAGAGATACACTGAAAAAATGTGTTTGATTACCATTTAATTAGCCCAGTAAACCAGAAACTCCAGTACATGTACATAAATAGTGTACTAGTGGCAAAAGTGGCATGAAATTTGTGGACCACTAATGCACATACATATGGTTGAACTAAGCCTTACCGAATGCTAAAAGCTCCCACACAAGGTGAGGGTCTAGGGAAGGGGACTTTTAGATGGTTTTACCCTTGCTTATTTTGCAAGCAGGTTGACACAAGTGGAGACAGTCACTAGTCTGCTGCTGCGCCATGCCCACCCTTCACTGGAGATAACGAACATTTGAAAAAAAAAATCAAGTATTGGGTTGTCGCACTCTACTCCCGTACCTTAAAAAAACTCAAATGCACATTAATGTCTCCTCTCGTGGCTGACGAAAAAAAAAGAGTAGTCACATGTGCATATGCAAGAGTTAGATCTCACACGATATGCAGCTGTGTATGTTCGTATGTGTGTTTATGGTGCAGAGATGGCCTTATAAAGATATCTTTAAACAAGTAGACAAGTAGTTTATGTTTCTACTGGTGATTTTGAGATGTATAGTCTTATAAAGAATGATGGATTGGATGCCATCAATGCGACTATATGGAGCCATATGTCACGGACAAACGAGTGGGCGATCTGTGGGGAAACAAACGAGTGCACGGATGGATCATCAAACCCTACCCTGGAATCATGACAAGTAGAGAGGAAGCAAGTGTCCACGGGGATCGAATCGTAAATAAAAGCAGCAACATGGAGCCGCCACGGTTCCAAGGAAGGGGGGGTGAAGGAAGATGGAGAGGACGTACATCTTATTGACGATCCTGTTGCGCTCCTCGGGCTGAAGCTGGGTGCGCCAGTCGCCTCCGGCCGGGGCAGCCGCGCTAGGGTCGACGCCACCGGCGTCAGCGATGGCGGCAAGGCCGTCCCCATGCGTGGGGCGCCAGTTGGCGGCGCCGTCCATGGCTTTGGACTCGGGCGCCTCTCTTGCTCTTTTTCGGATTCGATTGCTGACTTCGATCGATCTGCTGGTCGACGAAGGAGAGGGAGCACCTCCTCCCGCCCCTCTCCGATAACAAGGAGAGGAGCAATTGTAGCGAGAAGTGCCGTGCAGCGAAGGAGCGACCAAGGGGGTGTTTAGTTCACCCCCAATTCCAAACTTTCACACTATGCAAAAAGAAGATTCTCCGTCACATCAAATTTGCGGTACATGTATGGAGTACTAAATGTTGTTGAAATCAAAAACTAATTGCACAGTTTGGTTGTACTTTGCGAGACAAACGTTTTGAGCCTAATTAGTCAACGATTAGATAATTATTACCAAATAAAAACAAAACGCTACAGTGCGCTACATGGTGCTACAGTAACTTGGGCGGCGCCAATTCTGAGGAACTAAACGAGGCCAAAAAAAGGTAAGAAGGAAAAAGAAAAAGAAAGCTCGAAGTCAAAGCTAACACGCTAGACGTCATGGGCTTTGGATATTCATTCTCTTACAGAAAAGGCCCATCACTTAGTGGGCTTAGAAGAGAATCCATCCCAGTAGTCTGCCCGGCCCACCCTATCTTCGTCACCATCTCCGTCTGCCCGTCTCCACTGGGAAGGAAGGGGAGAGCACCTGCGTGTGCTCCTGCGCGGCGGCGGTTGGTAAGCCCCACCTCCGGTCCCAGCCACCGTTCTGTGTCTTCTGTGCTTCTCCTCCGCCTCTCTAATGGTGATTCGGAGTTGCTCTTCTTTCCACTGTGGGTTGCTGATTTCCAGAGTGGCGTGGAGGAGGCACTACCCCCTCTTCTGGGCTCTCAGGCCTCCCGTGCCGCCGCCGCCGCCACTCCCACAGCCGCCCACGCACTTCTTCTCCTCCTCCTCCCGGCGCTCCACCAAGAGATCCGCCGCAAAGACGCCAATGGACTCGGCTCCCGCCGGTGAACCCTTCTACGTCGTCCGCAAGGGGGACGTCATCGGCATCTACAAGACCCTCAGCGAATGCCAAGCTCAAGTCGGCAATTCGGTATCTGCCTTCTGCCTTCCGTGACTTTCCTTCCGTTGCTGGCCTGCTGTCGCTGACCATGCCCCTACCGCTGCTGCTGCTGCTAGGTTCGCGACCCTTCTGTCACTGTCTTCAAAGGTTACTCTCTGCGTAAAGACACCGAGGAATACCTCGCGGCGCGGGGGTTAAGGAACGCTCTCTACGCCATTGACGCAGCAGATGCACGAGATGAATTGTTCGACGATCTAGTTCCCTGCCCTTTCCAGGTAACGCAAACAATGCTCTGGGCTTGTAATTGTAAGTTCCAGCTGCTTCAGAGCCACGCTTTGTGAGGAGATTCTACAATGTTAGCGTCCACCAACCGTTTGCTTGCTTTTATGTAATTAGGGTTGCATCTTATGTACTAGTTGGATCTGATTGCTGGTCATTTCTGTACATGGTATTCAGTTTTATACTACCTGACTTTCGGCGTAACATCTCATGGGATGTTCACTGTGCTACTTGTGGTTTCAGCAACCTGATGGAGGTGCATCCTCTACATTGAAAAGGTCACACGAGATTGTGAGTAGCATTTTTTCTTTGTCACTCTAAGTGTGAATAGGTGATCCATTTCCATTCAAAAGTGACCTCTATATATATCTCATTTACTCGCACCAAAAAATCATTTTCTCAAGGAAACCGCACCATCAAAGAAGCATCCCAAAGTTGATGAGCAGGAATTACCTGATAGTCATGTGAGTATGAATAATGCAACCAGCACTCTATGCATTGTTTATTGGCTCGTTTCTGTAGTTGTGGTTTGTTACTAACATGTATATTTTCAACTTATCTTTGCTGTGATGATACATGAACCTGTGCTCATCAGCAGTTTTGACCTTTTTTGCAGCTCTCTTGTATTCTTGAATTTGATGGTGCCTCTAAAGGAAATCCAGGGAAAGCTGGTGCTGGAGCAATAATAAGGCGGATAGATGGTTCTGTGGTATGTAGCCAACTGGTAGCTAAACTGATGTGTTCTATTTATATTGAATTATCATACCTAGCTGGTTACCGTGTTATGATCTTTATTTACTGAAGATTGCTCAACTACGTGAGGGTCTGGGTATTGCAACCAACAACGCTGCTGAATATCGTGCATTGATCCTAGGGCTGACATATGCGGCCAAGAAAGGGTTCAAGTATATTCGTGCTCAAGGCGATTCTAAGCTTGTCTGTAACCAGGTCAGTGGTGATAGCTTTGTTATTTTGTAGCTTATATGTTCTTTGTTCCACTGTGAACTATCAATAGAGATTTAGCACTGTGCAATTCATTCTGACTTCAAATTCCACTAAGGTAATAACACTTCGAATGTGATTTTGCCATACAATTTTCTTCATTCTTGTTATCACATCGTTCAAAGAGCCCTTGTTCAAATCAGTTCACATTGAAATAAAGACTTTATCTCAAAATCTCTGCATACATAATCTGGTAAAAACCTGTTTTTTCATAAAAATGTTGTGAAACCTAGTTTATAGAGCTTTCAGGTGAGAGTCTCGAGCAGCTGGAAATTGTACTGATGTTAATTTTTTTTCTTGACAAAAGTAACACATTGTGCTTTCTGGAGCAGGTCCAAGATCTCTGGCGTGCTAAGAATGAGAATATGGCTGGCTTGTGCAAGAAAGTTAAGGAGCTAAAGGGAACATTTCATTTATTTCAAATCAGGCATGTTTTGAGGGTAGGTGTCACTTCTTTCCTCTGTCTTCTGACCTTGTTCAATTTTCTCTTAGACCAGCCAGCTTTGCAGTTTGCAATGTTCATGTGCTGCGCCATATCATATTCTACTGGCACCATTATGCTGGCCATGCAAGGTTTTATGTTGACATCACATATAATCAATTCTCAAAAGATACCACATGGCAGAAACTGCCCCTCAAAAAAGATGGCATAACCTGGAATTACTTGTATGAGTCTTCTTAGACTCCTATCTTAATATAACGATACACAACTCTCGTGCGTGCTTGAAAATAAAATCCATTCAGGCACTGTATGGGTGTTGCATAACAACTATTCCGTGCGCATTAGCATGGCACTATTTTTTTTCTTGCGGTTGAAGTAGTGAAAAGTGACACAAGATCACTGCATGGCCAGTTCATGATTGCTTCAGGTTGCCTCAGAGTCAAGTACTCAACTGCTAATTAACATATTTATTGGAGCAATTTCCTCTATCTGTCTAATACGTATCGATTTTTTTTATTTGATAAACATTTAGATTGGCATCTCTAATTCTCTATGGATTGATAAGACCATCTGAAAGCCCCTTCAGTAAAACATAACTTTCTGCAAGAGTCCCTTTTAACTGGATTTAATGTTGGTCGGAAAGTGAAGGGCGGGCCTGGTGCAAGCGGTAGAGTCTTACCGCCTGTGACCGGAAGGTCCCGGATTCGAGTCACGGTCTCCTCGCATTGCACAGGCGAGGGTAAGGCTTGTCACTGACATCCTTCCCCAGACCCCGCACAGAGCGGGAGCTCTCTGCACTGGGTACGCCCTAATGTTGGTCGGAAAGTCCCTCTATCAAAAAAAAAAAGAGGGAAAAATGTCAGTAGCTAAACCATGATACCCCTGACATTCATGCTGCCTCGTTTGTTTCGCAGGAATATAACTCGGCTGCTGATGCTCAAGCTAACTTTGCAGTAGAACTTCCTGGTACGCTTGCTGTGTAACCTTGTGAATTACTGGCTTCTATGCTAATTGTATTAGACCTGATTTGTTTGTCTCTACAGTTGGTGAAGTTCAAGAGCAGTCGAACTTTTCATGCTAGCAGTTTTGTTGTGCTCAAGTGTGGTTTGTGCTGGGACTGAATCTACGTCACGTTTGTTCAGTTCCCATTGACAGAAGAGGAAGAGACTAAACAACAGCTGTAGTGGAAGTGGTAGTCGGTCTGATATATCTACAGGGTATTGAACAGACTGAGATGCAATATTGGGTAGATTCCTAGGAAATTTAATCGTCTCAAAATTCTAGATAGTGCACTGTGCAAAGTTGATTTGTCAGGACCGGTGTTTGCTGATATACAATGTTTGTATTCGGAACATTTTACTACTACCATGAAGGGATGCACCCTGAAACTTTTGTTACTCTTTTCTGTATGTTGGTTACTTGGTTTGTGTAGGTGAGGCTAAAGTATAAATTAATTCAAAGCGTGTACTCCCTGAGTCCAAAAAAGAATGGCGTTATGATATGCGTACTGGTCAGACTTTCTCAAATTCGATTAGCTTTATAGAAAAAATATTAGCAACATTTGTATCACTAAAGAAAATTATTATAAAAATATATTCTACGATTTATCTAATGATACTAATTATGCATTGTAAATATATAATTTTTTTTTATATGTAATCGATTACAGTTAAAAATATTTGACTTCTCGAAAAGTGAGAATGACATTCTTTGTGTGGGGCCGAGGGAGTATGTTTGAAGAAACAAAAACTTTCTATCAACCTATCTTTTCACTTGCTACAGGTAATCCTTAGATGTCCTTGGCTAAGTAAGACAATAACATGAGAATTCATCAATAAAGGGAAATTAATATTTTCACCACCCCAATAAAAAGGAACATCAAATGGACAAAAATGGTTTGTGTTTTCAATCGTAACAGTTTATGTGAACCTTGTATTAACTCCTTGCAGATGGTTGCTTCGATATTCTTGAGGTCTTATTTGCCCTTAATGTGAATCCACATATATGCCGGCCAACAAAATCTTCATTTTGTTATGTTATTACCTAATCTCTTGTGCCAAAAGAAAGCATATCATTGTGTGCATCACACTTATTTTCATAACTTGTTCAGCATGGCTTTAGAAAAAACATCATGAAGGTTGAAATGGCATAACTGATCAATTAAAGTACTGGGACCACAATAATATGTATTCTCTCGTCTACATGCATAACCTTAAAACTTAGTACATCCAACTTTCTCATAAACACAAGATTTCTGCTACATTCGAAAAACATACATACACTCTTTAAGTACAAATCACAGACATACAGACATATACATGGATTACTCTGCGAGTCTTGATCCCTTCAATACAGTGCCTTCATTTTTATTCTCATGTGCTTTAGTCCGCTTATGGGTTGGATCATAAGCAACTCCTGCATAACATTTGACACGAGTAATAGCACTAGAATCTAACGAATAGGTATTATTACTAGGACCTATAATGAGTAGATTCTAACTTCCAAGAATGCAGAAAAATATTGTATACACCTTTTTTTTCAAACCATATTTTTCTCTTCAAGCAATCCTTCTTAAAATGGCCACCTTTTTTGCAGAAATGGCACCATTATCCACCATGAAAATTGATTGCCATGTATAACCATTTACAGTTCATGTGCATCACTTTACACACCATCAAATCACATTTAATTGTGAGTCTGTGAAATTAGCAACAGCAAATTAATCCCTATAGAGATACAGTGACAATGAATAAACGGTAAAGATTTAGATACAAACAACTTAAAGATTTTTCTTAATTAGGCACACAGAGTACTAGAGTTTCATAATTAAGCATGCAAGGAAGTTACTTTGAATCCTGAGCAGGACGTTAGGGATGTGGGCGAATTCAGAGTGTTAGTGTTGCTGTCATCTGACAGCAATGGCTTATATAAAATCAATGGTAAGCCCTTGTTTAGTTCGCGAAATTTGGATTTTGGGGCTACTGTAGCACCTTCGTTTTTATTTGGCAAATAGTGTTCAAACATGGACTAATTAGGCTCAAAACGTTCGTCTCGCAATTTCCCACCAAACTGTGCAATTAGTTTTTCTTTTCGTCTACATTTAATGCTCCATGCACGGGCCACAAATATTCGACGTGACAGGTACTGTAGCAACTTTTTGGAATTTGGGGTGGAACTAAACAAGGCGTAAGTTATTGTACACATAAGAGGCAATGATTGACATAGACATGACACCAATGGTAGTGACATCAATGCTTTGCAATTCTAGGTCCGCCTCTGGAGCCAACCTGTACCCAATGCCCCTTTGACAGTGGAATCAGGGCGATCACTTACTCCTGCCGGATGTGACCTGTTCACAGAGTCCATAAAATTGTCATTCTACTGGACATTCACAGCAACCTCATGTTTTCTCATCAGTTCAGTGTCCACACAATCCAGATTCCAGAAAACCTATGAGATCATGACTTGGACATAGGAACTGAGCCTATCAAAGTTCATTGATGATATGGAGGCACACCTAACCCACCTAATCTAGAGTCATCATCAAGGAGAATCTGGATACCTATGATTCCTCCTAAGTTGATCTTGTTTGCTACAGACCATGACTTGAATTTCATGCACATGCATTTCGTTTGTAAATTTCACACATCGATTAATTTGGAATTTAGGGCTTCAAGTTGAACAAAGGCTTGTGTTGAGGAAAATTTTGGACGGAAGCTGTGAAAAGACAATGTCTCATCCAAGGCTGAGAATGGAACCCATTGCCTCAACCAAGCGAATGGGCTGAACACTGCCATTTCACGGCATCATTCTTAGGATTAGGAAAAAACTGCCCCCACAAGCCCATTTTAAAATCGAAGGAAGTTAGATGCTCAGATTATGAAAGCTGGGAACAACCTAGATAACATGTAAATTTTGAAGAAAAATGCATCCCTCGCGTTCCCCTAGTGGCCCAAATATCTTACTCATAGTCTATTTTTTATAGTAAAAAATAAAAATAAATATATAGATAGCACAAAGTGTAATATTGGATTTATTGTGTATGGTACCTGGACCAGGGTTCTGTTGTGTATTTGCGTAACTCTCCATTGACAGCAATTTGAGAGAAATCTTCCGTAAGTAATCACTCTGAATGATACAAATACAAAAACAAGGATTGGAGTTGTAGTTTCACATTGATAAGTTTTTTTTTTAAGTGCAGGGTCAATATTTTCCTCCTGCATGCCCTAGTATGATTAGCACAGTAAGCATGCATATTATCGACTTATGCTAACATGATGAGAAAAGGAAATGCTACAGGCATGTAAAAATTGGCCTAAAATCCTGGTAGCAGATTGTTCATAGATGGCTGTTTTCCATGTTTTTTTCTAGGTTTGCATTTTTTTTCCTTTTTTTTTGTGCGAGAATGTAGAAACTATGATTGACGCACCCACCCACCCACTCAGTGCTGAGCGCTGAGCGGAAAGTAGAAGCAGAGTTAGTGAGCAGAGTTAGGTTAAGGTACCTGGCTAGTGGCTGCAGCATACACCTTGTCTTCAAATCGCACGGCAATTCTTTGAAGCTCAACCAGCCCCTCTGGCACTGATACCGGCAGATGCTTCCTCAGAGTCAGTACTCTGAATGCAAGATATGCGTCTGATTAAAGTGTGAGGGTGGCGGGGAAGGAGGAAGGAGGCATGAAGAAAGGGGAGTGGGCGTACATCTTGTTCACGATCCTGCCGCGCGCCGCGGGCTGGAGCTGGGCGCGCCAGTCATCGCCGGCGTCCATGGCTTCGTGGTTGGATCGGCGTGCTTGGATTGGAGTATTGGATGGATCTGTTCGTGCTAGGCGAGACGAGGAAGAGGAAACAGCAAGGCAACTGCGGGCAGCACCTCCCGACGACTCCTGTCCTGTCCTGTCCTCTGACTTCTGCGCGCTGCGTTGGCGTTGGATTGCCGCAGTGGACCTCTCTCTACGTGTCGACCGTCGACGACGCAGCTGTTGAGTCGAGCTTGCCCTTCCACTGCGACTGCGGTCCCACTATTCAGTATAAACTGCTAATACTTGCGTATAAATTATAAATTAATTAATTGCTACTCCCGCAATTTATATCTCTATAGGAACTCACTTTCATCTTCTCTTCGTGAGAGTTTTGCACTTGTTCATGATCCGAAGAAAACACATGATCCAACCCTGCTTTGGCCACATTATGTGTTCTTCAACAATAGCTTTCACCTTTTTGTTGGATAAAACAGTCGCTCTTTCTGCGAGGAGCTTATTTGTCTGTCTACAAAAAACACTTTTCATACTGATGTCGAAACTCCATGCGGATGTAGACGTCGGGACATAGAACTAAGGTTTAACATTGAAGTTGCTCTAATTAATTGAAATAGCCCTTTCTTTTTCTCTTTGATATGAACATCGCCATCTTCTTTGGCTGATTATTTCTACCGTCCTCCTCAATGCTAATCCGCTAATCTTCATCCACTGTATTGTCAACTGCAACTGATTTTGAGGTTATTTATTACTGGATTCATTTTTTAGGTTATTTATTAGTGGATTAGAGAGGACAAAGCAGGATTTCAAGATCTAGGCTACGATGCTTTTTAGTTAAATAAGATTGTCTTTGTTCATTAACTCACAACTTTTTAGAGTATATTATCATAGATGTAAACAGATATAATGTCAATAGGCCATATTATCAGAGAGCTCACTCGACCGAGCCATCACATGAGCCAGCTTACGTGAACAAAAGACACATGAGTAGTTTTTCGTGCTAACTGGTTTAACATGAGCTATAATAATGGAGTCCCTTGTAATTAGATTGCAATATTGCATGGATACCGTATGGAGTTTATGTATGTGAGAGAGACATCCGCGCAAGAGTTCACGACACTAGGGAGTCACTAGTTAAAGAGAAGGGAGATAAAATGTTTACGTGCACTTTAGTCTTCACGTGGCATTATTCCCTTCCTCGTTAATTTGGTGAATACCTTTTGTGCCTCGGATATATACAGTAATTACGATGGAAGAAGCAACAAGCAGCAAACCAAAGGAATAATGCTCAATTCTTACGGCACAATTGCAATTTTTATTTCTATAATGGCAAATCTGCAATAATAGAATAACTACAACTTTTTTGTGGCAATTTGCAATTTTGGTTTTCTATAATGGCAAATCTAAGATAATCGTTGGGAGAAATAGTAAATATGCAACCTTGCCATCTACTAAAAGCAAAGTGCCTTCTCTGTCCTTCCTCTTTCCCCTTGCTTTAGTAGAAGGTGACTTATGTTCACACACAGGTCTCGTCTATTCTCTCTCGCCTCAAACAACCTCTTCAGTGTTGGGGATGGAAAAGCCATGATTTTAGAAGATGGTTTAGGCCCTGTCTGTTTCCGCGACCACGGTGCATTTGAGCCAAATAAGCCAGAAAAGCTAGCCAAACGCCCGGCGACCGCCCTCTCATCGCGACCGCCCTCTCATCACGACCGCACATCCGCATTGGAGCATCGCCCGCAGTGTTGTTCGAAACCCGATCTCAGGCCCACGATTTGGAAAACGCGACTCGCATTCCCACCCGCCCGTGCTCGCCCCTTTCTCCCATGCACAGGTGCCCCTTCCCTGACACTCCTCCCCCACCGCCGCCTCCCTCCACCCTCATCGCCTCCCTCCACCCCAGTTGTTGACTCCCCTGGCCTAGATCCAGCCGGCGGTGACCAGTTCCCACCGAATCTTGCCTCCCGAAGGATGCCGCCTCCCTCCCGGCAGCTGGCGGCCTCCTCTGGGACGCCATCCTTCACCGATCTGGCCTCCCAAAGGACGCCACCTCTCTCTAGTCGGCGGCCTCCTCTCCCTCTAGGTAGCGGGCGGCCTCCACCGGGCTCCAGGACACCAGCAAGCTGCACGGACTTGACCACCGCCACTGAGCTCCCTTTGAGCTCCCACCGAGCTCCGCGCGCCTCTCGTGGTCCCGGCAGCCTCCACCAAGCTGCCAAAATAATCTCCATGACCCAACGCATGATTTTATTACGCAGTGAGGTTCTCCAGATCACTACTCATCAGATATGTCCTTTGGTTTCCTCCACTTTATCTCCAATGATTGTGTGGACGGATGCATCACAGGCGCTTTGTCTTCATAGGCGGCATGGCGAGCTTCTTCAACTTCTCCGACGGCGATAGCGCGAGTTACTTCTACTTTGTTTTGGAGGGATAGGAGATATTGGCATCCCCGTTAATGGATTGCCTTTTGGGTATTAATGTGGTTTGCAACCGTGAATTGTTGTTTAGGTCAGTTTCTTGGTTAGTATTGGACTTCTTTTCCTCTTCCATTCTATTCTTGGTGCGTTGACGGTCGAGGCTCTTTCAACAGCATTGATTTGAAATGTTGGATGGTTCATGCTACAGATCCAAGTTTTGGTGTCCCTTTTTGAGATGAGAGGCAGATCTTGTTTGCCAGTTCTGATGTTCATCGACGGTGGACGGGAAGGAGGTTGTTGGTAAGGAAAGTCTAGAAATTAGAGTCATAAGTTTTCATTATTCCAGGTCGTTCTTTACAAATGTTTGAGGTGTGATGTGCTAGTACCTTTTCCTTAATATATAATTCATCGCAAAAAAATGAAATTTTACTAAAAGAGGAAAAGAAGAGACAAATACATCACTTTTTAGACTCGCAGTGGATTTCAGCTGTCAAGATTTTCATCACCTTTCTTTAATATATAATTCATCGTGAAAAAATGGATTTTTTACTAAAAGACAAAAAGAAGAGACAAATACATCACTTTTTTTAGACTCGTAGTGGATTTCAGTTGTCAAGATTTTCATCACCTATCTGCTCAGTTAGTTGAGATATAGTATCACTTAGTATATATATAAAATACCTATAGCACATTATAAGGGCATGTTTGGATGGAACCATAGGACTGTTGCCTAAGGAAAAATGACTGCCTAGATGTTGCCTATTAACTCATTTGGTTTTGCCTGCCCTGGCTACATCACATATATTTTGTTTTGTTTGAAGAATATGTCTAGCAACTTTGCCCGTTTGAACTTATCACTATAGTATAGTATTTTTCTCTTACAATAAATCAGCTTCAGCTGGCTTATCAGCAGAAAAAAACATCCGCCGATCGTTCTTTTGTGTGTCTAGAATGTCCAGACCTGGCAAGAAACCAGGGCTGCAAGCAAATGTGGTACAGGTCAGGCAATCTGTGCCCAGAATAGTACCCAAATAGCCCCTAAATTACTTGGAAGGAACCAACATGGTTTCGCTCCATGTTTGTATGCTGCGGGACAATGGTATAAGCACTTACTATTCATATATAAAATCTCTAGGCTAAGGAATTAAATTACGGAACGAACGAGCAGGTTTTGCTCCATGTTTGTATGAGAAAAAAAATGCTCCATGTTTTTATGAGGAAAACAAAAAAAAAATATGTGGACAGTGTATGAGTACAACAAAAAAATATGGTTAAAATATGGTTTTGATCCATGTTTGTATGAGAAAAACAAAAAAGTATGAAAAAATATGCTGAGAGTGTTTGAGGAAAACAAAAAATATGGTTTGCTCTATGTTTATATGGTAAAACAAAAAAAAATATGAAAAATGTTTATATGATAAAAACAAAAAGTATGTTGAGAGTGGGATTTGAACCCACGCCCTTTCGGACCAGAACCTTAATCTGGCGCCTTAGACCAACTCGGCCATCTCAACTTGTTATGATAAATGAGATTCTCTATTCCTATATTAATATAGGAGCTTTTGCAGCACAATAACCATCTACTCAAATCCAAGCGGTGGCAAGCCTGTATAGTGCTCGTAAATGCAGTTTTGATGAGGGTTTCATGATAGTTTCATAGATAAATAAACTAACGTGGATAGTATAAATGAAAAGAGATGATGAAAATGATCATGAGATGAAATAATTTATAATTCTATGAGGATGAAATTGTCTACATGTAGTGTAGGAGTATCTAACATATGCCAGTCTTGGTGAGGGTTTCATGATAGTTTCATAGATAAATAAACTAACATGGATATATAATATAAATGAAAAGAGACGATGAAAATGATCATGAGATGAAATAATTTATAATTTTATGAGAATGAAATTGACTACGCTTAAGCATGTAAATCAGCACGTACGCACCTACTGGCGCGCAGTAAGTATATCTCTCTCTAGCTCTACAGCACATATGTACTATATACACTATACAATGCAACTATTACTAGCGAAAACCATATATAGACTATATATATATATATATAGGTTGGCTAGCTCGGCGTTGCACAAATTCACGCCTAGCTAAAGAACTTGAAAGCTACTACTCGTGCACATCCATGTTTGTACTTTATCGCTTAATATTTTGTGAATTTTATAGAAAATTGAATATTAACGGGAGATCATATTGATTTAGATTCATAATGTCATCTATTATGTTTGATGCAAATTAGAAAATTGGTTCAATTCCAATGTCATCCCCCCACCCCCCCCCAAAAAAATTATTATTATTGTAATATAAAATTAGAAAGGAGGTTGAAAGCCGCCTTCCTAGCCGGCCTAGCAACTTGATCAGCCTGGGCATAGCACTCTCACAATAGAAACATTGCATGCAACAACAAATAGTGCGGTATTAATTATTATCCACCATAACGACAATTCGAGACCGGCTTTGTAAAAAAAATGCAGAGATTCGGTCTGGATGGGCATGAACCCGGGACCTTCAAACGAATCGGATCACAGGAGACTCTACCACTTGCTATATATATATATATATATATATATATATATATATATATATATATATATGAGTATATTTTTAGGACACCACTATAGTATATATATTTTGTTTACAAAACCTGAAACAGATCCAAATTAAATGAAAACCATAAATAATTAGGAAAAACGAAATTAATAATATTAATATGTCTATGTATGGTAGTACTGTACAAGCTAGCTAGCTAGCTAGACGCCCATGCATATACCACACATACAAACCCACAAAGACTATATGTACATAGCTAGGAGTATTATATGTTTAAGACACCAATACTACAGTATATATATTATATTTTACAAACCTGAAACATTATCCAACAAATATAGAACCCACGATTAGAACTAGGAGAAACAAGTAGTATAGCAGTCTATAGCAGGGTAACCATCTGGTACGTACATACAGTTCTATATGTACGCCTTGAGGTGTAAGTAACTCACGAACCGTCATGCATCGCGCGCGCGTCGAAACACTTCGCCACGTACACCGCCCAGTTCGTCGATGCAGCTTGGGAACGAATTGAAGCAGCAGGTGCAGGGCGCGCGGCGTCATCGATGGACGCGAGAGTCAAAGAGGAACGACGACCTGCTGCGGTTGGTGCTGGGCGGCGCCGGCGGCGGAGTCGATCATCATGGTGGCGGGGGTCGACCAGGCGGCGGCGGCGGTGTGGTCCCAGATGCCGGCGGCTTCGTCGAACACCTCGGGGGGCACCTCCTGGAAGCCCTGCAGGCCGAAGTCCTCCGCCTTGGGCAGCCGCGTCATGAAGTCCTCGAAGTCGTCGGGCTCCTGGTGCAGAGGCGCCGCCGCCAGCTCGCGCAGCATCTGCTGGTGACGCTGCATCTCCATCGTGCTGGTGGTGTCGTCGACGTGGCAGCCCTGCTGCGCCTGCGGCGCGGTGGCCGCCATCGTCATCTGGAACGTCTGGTGGTGGTTGTAGTTGTAGGTGTGCGAGGCCGCCATGGTCGTCACCGGCGACGAACTGGAGTAGGAGTTGGAGAAGGAGTCGGAGTTGGACGACGACGCGTCAGCGGAGTAGCTGGAGGAGTACTGCATCATCATCATAGGCGCCGACGCCATGGCGGCCTGCTGCTGCTGCTGGAGGTACTGGTGGTGGCGGTTGTGCCCACCACCACCACCAGCAGCAGGGCCAGCAGCCACGGTGTCAGGGGACGGAGATGACACCACGACGACCGCCGGTCCTCCTCCTCCTCCGCCTGCCGCCGCCGCAGAAACCACCGGAGGAGGAGTCGGCTGCAGGTTGAGGCGCGCGCAGTCGCCGTAGAGCTGCCTGGCCGCGTTGTCGTAGGCGTGCGCGGCCTCGCGCGCGCTGGCGAAGGTGCCGAGCCAGAGGCGCGCGCCGCGGTTGGGCTCGCGGATCTCGGCCACCCACTTGCCCCAGGTCCGCTGGCGGACGCCGCGGTAGGGGCACTGCTGGTTGTCCGGCCCGCCCTTGCCCTTCATGCACCCCTTGCGCGACCGCCGCAGCGGGCAGCACCTTCGGCCGCCGGCGGCCCTGCTGCTGCCGCCGCCGCCGCCGCCGCTGCTGTTCTGGTGCTGCTGCTGCTGGCCATGGTGCGGCGGCGGCGACGGTGGCAGCGGCTGGTGGTGCGTACCTTGCTGCTGCTGCTGGACCTGCAGGTGGTGGACGAACTGCTGTCGCTGTCGCTGCAGCTGCATCGCCGACACGTCCATGGCGATCGACCGATCCATCTGGACCAGCTTCAGCTTCGTCCGTCCGCTGATCGATATAGCGATCGACCGGCGGCGATGGATGCTAGCAATGACCGGAGGGGTGTGTGTGCTGTGTGAGGCTCCCTGGCCTGGTATATATAGACAGTTGGCATGCAGCACTGCAGGCCAGGCAGCAGTTTTTCAGTGTGCGCAATGAAGGCAGGCGGGCGGGGGCGGGCGGGCAGAGAAGCCGGCGCATGGCACTGCATGGCGCCTCCGTGTAGAGGCGGCACCAGGCGGGGCCTGGGGGTTGGGGCCACGCGGGGGGCGCGGCGCGCCAAGTAAGGGGAAGCGGGTGACACGAAGGGGTGGGGGCCAGCGGGGCGGGACACATGGACGCCGCCGTGGGCTCCACGAGTCGCAGCACCAAGGCCCACGTGGCGGCCGAGGCGACCGGGGCAGCTCTAGCGAGGTCACGCTGATGCAGCCCGCCCAGCCCGTGGACGCCGATGCAGATGCAGCCACTGCCTGCCCATCGGCCGTCTTCTATCTATCCATGAATCCATCTCCATCCATCCATGGACTGCTGCGCCGATCCGCGAGCCACAGCCATGGCTTGGCAGCTGGACGCTGGGCATTTGGATCTGTATCTGGCTGGTCTGCAACCCTGCCTGCATCATGCCGCTGACCCTGGTCTCCGGCTCTCCGCACGCACGCAACGGCGGACTGACGACTTTGCCCTCTGCCCTCTCCCTGCGTGTTTTCTTAGTAATAAAAAAAATAGTGACATATTTTCGCGGCAGTAGGCATGCATTGCACGTGCTCTGCCCATGCGATGCCGATGGCCATGGAGGAGGCGGCATCGCCTCTCTGTGTCTATCCAGATCCCATTTCGCCTCCGGGCCGTACGGACCGTGTACGTGTGTCTTCGTCCCCTGCGTCTGCTCTGCTGCGATTCAAAACATGTGTTGCTCTGTTGTTGACTTCTTGTCGAGCGCGCATGCTGCGTTCGTTGGGTTGCTCCATGAATCCATGATGATGATCCATCCATCCATGGAGGACCATGCATGCCTGATCGCGCTCAAACCTGTTCTACACTGCCTGTAGCCAGTTTGCCACGACACCAGCTGGATGGAATGCGTGTCGCCACTTTCAACTCACACCTGTTAACCCAACTGTTGTCTGCCCGTCTAAATTGGCACGTGTATACAGCGTGACTAGCTAGCTAGCCCGGGCCAGTGCTGATAATAATACAAATGTGTGTAACATTTTTTTACGTAACAATGTCACTGTTACAGATATGACTTTCACTGCCTGTTGTATCGCCGCCGGATTTTAAAAACCGACAGGATAGCACATCATTGTTGGTTTTTCGCTAAAACCGACAGTGATAGGACCAACCGACACTGATATTCGGGTATTCACTGTCGGTTTTAGCCAAGAACCGGCAGTGATGTTAGGTCATCACTGTCGGTTTTAGCCAATAACCGCACTGATACTATCACTGTCGGTTCGTGGCTTGAACTGACTAACAGTGATAAAAACTTCATAACTTTCTCATATGATGTCCGATGAAGACGAACTTTATACCAAAGTTGTAGTACCCGACGAGATCTACAACTTTGTAGTTCAAACTTTTTTATTTGATATCGTCTGGATATCCAAATATACACCATAAGATTTTATAGAGTTAATACCAAAGGAGTACCATATGCTCCATAGTCATAATTGAGTGTGGAGTGGTAGTTAAGGATCTCAGATGCGGAAGCACCCAAAACAAAAGTTGTAGATCTTAAAAGATTATGCAACTTTGTATTTCACAACTTTTTGTTTGAAGTCGTTATGATGTCCCTCTATTTGATTGGCAAGATTTCATATAAGTTAACACCAACTAAAGCCATATGTTCCATAGTTACAAGTGAGTGTGTAGTGATATTTAAGGGTCTCGGATGAAGAAGAGACCAAGATAAAAGTTGTAGATCTAAAAAAGTTATGCAACTTTATAGTTGACAATATTTTCGTTTGAAATCATCTATCTAAAGCAAATCACGTTTGATTTCTAAAATTTAAAATTTGAATTTTTCAAATGACCTCGGATGGAGAAATGTTCGAAACAAAAGTTGTAGCGTTGAAAAGTTATGCAACTTTGTAGTTGATAACTTTTTCATTTGAAATCATTTATGTAGTGTAAAATACGGTTGAATTTTTCGCAAATTTGATATTTAAATTCTTCAAATGACATCGGATGGAGAAATGACCAAAACCAAAGTTCTAGATCTCGAAAAGTTATAAAACTTTATAGTTGACAACTTTTTCATTCGATTTCGTTTAGAATCCTAAATACTCATTTTAAAATCAGATGAACATAAAATGGTTAGAACGAAAATCTTATTTGGACACAAGCTTCTTACACATGGAGTGGTTAGGGAACGAACATGTGTAGCATGAGGTTTGGAGTTCGAGTGCTGGCGGTCGTAAAGTGCGCCTTTTTCGTGTAGAAAATCGTGTGACTTGTGACTTGCGACGCACGACCATGTGGCTTGTCTAGTGGGGTCCCTCCCAGTATTAACTAAATTTTTCCTATTTTTTCAGCCTATTTTTGGAATTTTTTGAAAACCATGTCACTGTCGTTTTTTAAACCGATAGTGATGTGGCCCCTTATCACTGTCGGTTCAAAATCCAACAGTGAAGGGAGGTTTTGAACCGACACTGATGTGAAGAACTAGGGTAGTACGTGTAACATTTACAAATGTATGTAACATTTTGCCAGTCTTTACTGCTTTGTAAATGTGTGTAATGGAATTTTGAAGGCGTTTGGTTCCATGGATGGAAACCTTAATGTTAATGGAAACAGATCGCGCAGAGGGAGCAGCAGGGGATCTTGATTCCCGTGATTTGTTTGGTTGCAAAAAAGTAATAGAAACCAGTCACGGTAGCTATTGCGTAATACGATAAGGCTTGCGGAGGGGCGGTATCAGCCGTGAACGGGCCCGTATAAGATTGCATGGTACTCAATAACGGCCCGACCTGAACCAAACAGTTGTAGCACCATCCGTTCCCCTCCGCAATCTAATTACGTTACATTTTATTGAACCAAACAACAAGGATGTACTTATGTATAAATTGTGTAACATAGCATTACACTAACAAAAATAACAATTAACCAATACTAAAAATATATTCTATATTACTCACCGTCAGAACAGGTTGTTACATAAGTTGAGGGCATACAAATCATCGCACACTCAGGTCAGACAAACCCCCTTTCGGAAAACCATGGTCGCCAGACAACCACCTTCTCCTAGAGCCAGCTTTTCATAAATAATCTACACCAAACCGACCCTAGTGATGTGATCTAGCACAACATATCCTCTAGCTGGATTGTGGTGCTTGTGCTATTACTGCTATACCTGCTTACGCCAGCATGTGACTCAAACCTCGGTTACGGATGGTGGTCAACGCAAAGAGACTTCGCACTGACGGAGAGTCCTCTAGAAGCGACATCCACTGCTTTTAATATTGTTAGGTGTAGATATAGATACACACATAGCTATAGTAGGTGGGCCAATATGTTTTCCGCGGAGAAGCCGCATCCGATGCATTGATTCTAGCATTTCCACTCCTTTAACGTGTTGTGTCTGGGACCCACACCCTCTATTTTGACTGGTTGTGTGTTGCTTTATGAAATTTGACCAAGGTCGAAGGTTTTCTCCGTAAAACATCAAAAGTTCTCTTAGTCCAATGTCTTGAAAGGAAATACAACATGTATTAGGACCTTAGAAGGTGTCCATTCACGTCCTATGTATCCCTTCCTTGAATCCATCGAACCTTGTGACGCTGGCTCGAGGGGGTGTGCAACATTTTCTCATATTGCAAAGCACAGATATATTTGTGAACCACTAGGTGCATGCATCGCCCGCGATGATGATTCACTTCGCCACGTGCACCGGCCAGGTCATCGATGCAGCTTGGAACAAAGTGGCTGGTGCTGGGCGACGCCGGTGGCGGAATCGATCATCATGGCGATGGTTGACCAGGCGGCCACCTTGTGGTCCTAGATACCGGTGGCTTCGTCGAACACCTCGGGAGGCGCCTCCTAGAAGCCCTATAGGCCAAAGTCCTCCACCTTGGGTAGCCGCGTCATGAAGTCCTCGAAGTCGTCTGTCTCCCGGTGTAGAGGAGCCGCCGCTAGCTCGCGGATCATCTGCTGGTGGCGCTGCATCTCCATCGCCGTGGTGGTGGTGGTGTTGTTAATGTGGCAGCCCTACGCCTACAGTGCGATGGCCATCATCATCATGTCGTATGACAAGGCAACATCATCTAGAATGACTTCTGGTGGTGGTAGGTGGTGGGTGGGGCCACCATGGTCACCGGCGACGAGGTGGAGTTGGAAAAGGTGGAGTTAGAAAAGGAGTCGGAGTTGGATGATGACGCATCGATGGAGTAGCTAGAAGAGTGCATCATCATCATAGGTGCCACCACCATGGTGGCCTGCTGGTGCTGCTGCTCGAGGTACTGGTGGTGGCGATTGTGCCCACCACCACCACCAGTAGGGCAAGCTACCATGGTGTCAAGGGACGAAGATGACACCATGACCTCGAGTCCTCCTCCTCCTCCTCCTTCACCTATTGTAACCATCGGAGGAGGAGGCAGCTGCAGGTTGAGGCATGCGCAGTCGGCGTAGAGATACCTGGCTACGTTATCGTAGGCACACATGGCCTCGAGCGCGCTACCGAAGGTGCCGAGCCAGAGGCACATGCCGTGGTTAGGCTCGTGGATCTCGGCCACCCACTTGCCCTAGGTCTCTGGCGGATGATGTGGTAGGGGCACATCTAGTTGTCCGGCCCGCCCTTGCCCTTGATGCAATTTGTGTGTGTGTGTGTAACATTTAGACGTGGATGTAACATTTACAAATGTGTGTAAATGTGTGTAACAGTTTGCCTTCCTTTACTACTTTGTAAATGTGTGTAATGGAATTCTAAGGATGTACTTATGTATATATTGTGTAAGATAGCATTACA